AGGTCCCTTCTGACCCTTAATCTATGAATCTATGAAAACCAGGAGTCACTGCTGGTTGATTGTGGGCAAACACTTTCCTTCCCATGTTTCAGTCTCCCCATCTGTAAAATGGACATGCCCATAATTTAAGTAAACAAATTCACCTGAAAAAGCTTTCTAGCAAGCATCAAGCAGATTTTCCTTTATACAATTTGAGCACTTAAGTGCCAAGGAGGTTTCATGATCAAAGCCAGACTCCAAAGTAGATATGCCAACTCAGGGATTACCTGGAACAAAGGCCTAACCCCACAGCTGTGGTCCTTAGGGACAGTAGGATCAAAGTGAGACTAGAGGGAACGAGTAACCAAGCCTCTTCTATGGCTGGTCCCAGTGCTGGATTATGACATGCTGAGACCCTAAACTATGTCCAGTTTAAGAGGCCCCATATGATAAAAAACAATCCATGAAATTCATGAAAATGGATTTTCATGAAATGTTTAAGATGAATTATTGTTATTTCTGCACAAATTTATGAACTCAATATGAATAATAACCGTGGAGCCAAATATATGTATATTATTGTCATATTAGAATAAAAATGTCCAGATTTTTTTTTCTTATTTAGAAACCCCCCTCATATTGTGAGGCCCTAAACTGTGGTTTAAGTAGCTTATGTCTAAATCCAGCACTGGCTGGTCCCCAGGTGTGAGATGTCACCCTACTACACTATAGACCTGGCTACCTCACGGATATCTTGCCAGACTGATCTCTTCACCATAGCTTTCCTATAACAGGAAGAATGAATAACAACAAAAGAAACAAAGTAAAGAAAGCTACCCCAGGAACAAAACAAAAAACAGTCAAACTCCTTCACCAGTGCATGGTGGGTGGGGGAAAATGAGAATTTCTTATGCCTACCATGTATGTGAATCTATGTCTATTTGTCAGGTGCCTCATAGTGGTCATGATCAGTGTGGTATAGACAGACAGAGCAGATCCATCCTATAAATGATTATGAACAAGGAGTTATATACAATAAAGGACTTAGGCACCTAAAGCAGGACATTGGCAGAATTGAGGTGTCCAAGTTTAACAAGTGCAGCTGTTGCCTAACCTTGCAAGTATCTAAGTTTGTTAGGTGTGTCCTGGGTTCATAGAATCATAGAAGTAGGGTCAAAAGGGACCTTGTAGATCTTCAAGTCCGACCCCCTGCCTGGGCAGGAGAAAAAACTGGGCTCAAATGATCCCAGCTAGGTAGGCATCAAGCCTCCTCTTAAAGACCCCCAGGGTAGTAGCCAGCACCACTTCCCTTGGAAGATGGTTCCAGATCCTAGCCACCCTGACTGTGAAGTAGTTCTTACAGATGTCTAATCTAAACCTACTCTCCAACAATTTATGGCTGTTATTCCTTATTATGCCAGGGGGTGCTAGGGGAAACAAGGTCTCTCCCAAACCCTTCTGGTCCCCCCTAGTGAGCTTGCAGACGGTCACCAGGTCCCCCTCAGCCTTCTCTTGTGAAGGCTGAACAGGTTCAGGTCCCGCAGTCTCTCATTGTAGGGTCTGCCCTGT